ATGTGCCACGACACCCAGCTAATTTTTTGTTTTGGTAGAGGCTGGTCTCAAACTACTGGGCTCAGGTGATCTACCCTTCTTGGCCTCCCAAAGTGCTGGGGTTACAGGCGTACACCACCATGAATGGTCTTTAGAGATAGGGTGTCACTTTATTGCCCAGGCTGGACTTGACCTCCTGGGCCCAAACAAGCCTCCCGACTCAGCCTCCCACATAGTTAAGACTACAGGTATGCACCACTGTGCCTACCTCACCCCAGGATTCTTAACCTACAGAAACCATAAGAAATAACAATTCATGGTTTAAGCCACCAAATTTTGAGAAAGATTTATTATCCAGCAGTAGGCAACTAATACAAAAGCAAAGATCAGAAATAGAAGGTGCTCCTGGGGGACTTGATGGGATATAGCAAGGTAGGCTGGGGGAGGCGGGAGCAGTGAGAAGCATGGTAAGGGAGCAAAGTGGAGTAAAGAACCTGTGAAATCAATTTGTATTTTACTTACCATTTCATCCAGGATTGGCTCTAAGAGGTTATTACAGATGGTCCCTGAAATGTAGGATCAAGAGAATGCTGTGTGATCTTTATTTGGAAGACAGATTTTAGGTTGTGTCAGGTGGGGGTGTTCCTACAGACAAGTTAGTCTCATTTCATCCTGAACAAGTGATTGGGCTTTACAATAAAGATCAGGTTCTGGAAGTGCAATAGCTTTTCTTTTATTTTTTATTTTTTGAGACAAAGTCTCACTCTGTTGCCCAGGCTAGAATGCAGTGGCACGATCTCAGCTCATTGCAACTTCTGCCTCCCGGGTTCAAGCGATTCTCTTGCCTCAGCCTCCCGAGCAGTTGGGACTACAGGTGCCCGCCACCACGCCCAGCTAATTTTTTTGTATTTTTGGTAAAGACAGGGTTTCACCGTGTTAGCCAGGATGGTCTCGATCTCCTGACCTCATGATCTGCCCGCCTTGGCCTCCCAAAGTGCTGGGATTACAGGCATCAGCCACTGCACCCGGCCTTTTCTTTTTTTTTTTTAAATAGAGATGGGGGTCTCACTATATTGGCCAGGATGGTCTTGAACTCCTGGCTTCAAGCAATCTTCCTGCTTCGGGCTCCCAAAGAGTTGGGATTACAGGCGTGAGCCACTGCACCAAGCCAATATCTGTTCTTTAACAAAACATTTTTTCAATTGTTTTATGCTAAGCCCTGGGATAACTGCTGGGTGAACTAAGCAAGGATAAGTGAGTCACAGACTCTGCTTTCAAGAAGTTTCACAAGTGTAGGGGAGATTATCAAGAAAACAATGACAATACTATGCTACAAATAGTATGATAAGGCCAGTCACAGTGGCTCATGCCTGTAATCCAAGTGCTATGGAAGGCTGAGGTGGGCAGAGAGCTTCAGCCCAGGAGCTCAACACCAGCTGGGCAACATAGTGAAATCTTGTCTCTATGAAAAAATTTAAGAATTAGGTGGGTATGGTAATGTGTACCCGCAGTCCCAGCTACTGGAGAGGCTGAGGTGGGAGGATCACTTGAGCCTGGTGGGGGACCAGGGGTTGAAGCTGCAGTGTGTCGTAATTGCACCACTGCACTCTAGCCTGGGTAACAGAGAGATACCTTGTCTCAAGGTAAAAAAGAAAAACCATATAATTAATCAGGACAAACCCAGACCACTAGGATGAATGGAGGTAGTCAGGGAGAGCTTTCCGGAGGAGGTGACTTTCGAGTTTTGAAGGATAAATATGATTTGGCCTCTCTCTGAGTGAAAGGAAGGGATAGGACAATGGAGTGTGGGATGCTCTTGGAAGAAAAGCCTTCTTGACACTAGAGAAAGCATATATGGAAGGTTCTCTAAAGGTTCAAGAAACTGTAGGTATTTCTGAATGCCTAGAATATAGGAAATGAAGGGAGGGGTGAGGTCGGCAGGGACCTAGTTCCTGCAGTCTTATATTTTCTGGTAGGGTTTTAATTTTTGTCTTCAAAGCACTGAGGAACAACTGCAGTGTTTTAATCAAGGGCTTGACCTAATCAGATTTGCATTTGGGAAGGATTTCTCTTGCTGCAGTGGGTGGATGGGACTGAGGAGGGCTGGACAGGAGCCAAGATGACCAGATGGAAGGTCACAGTTCAGAGGGAAGAGTCCCAATGAAGTAGTGACAGAGGGCAAGGCAGGAAAGGGCTGGGCCCAAGGATGTTGACAGGTAGAAGCAGTGAAGTTTATTATCAACTGGATGGTGGGAAAGAACATGTCAACAACGCCTCCCAGTTGGCTGGGCGTGGTGGCTCACACCCAGCACTTTGGGAGGCTGAGGTGGGTGGATCACCTGAGCTCAGGAGTTCGAGACCAGCCTGGCCAACATGGTGAAAACCTGTGTCTACTAAAAAAATACAAAAATCAGCCAGGCATAGTGGCACACACCTGTAATCCCAGTTACTTGGGGAGGCTGAGGCAGGAGAATTGCTCGAACCTGGGAGGTGGAGGTTGCAGTGAGCCAAGGTTGTGCCACTGCACTGCACTCTAGCCTGGGAGACAGAGTGAGACTCTGTCTGAAAACAAAAAAGACAATGCCTCCCAAGTTTCTGGCTTAACAAAATGAATAAATAACCTATTGGTGTTTTCTCATGTGACTTTTTTTGTTTTTAAGAAACAGAGTCTTACTCTGTCCCCCAGGCTGGAGTGCAGTAGTGGCATGATCATGGCTCACTGTAGCTTTGAACTCCTGGACTCAAGTGATCACCCTGTCTCAGCCTCCTGAGTAGCTGGGACTTACAGGCAACTACTACCACGCCCTGGCTTTTTGTAGGACTTCTGGAGAGGTATTTAAGTGGAATAATGTTAACTAATTTTTTTTTTTCCAGACAGAGTTTCGCTCTGTTGCCCAGGCTGGAGTGCAATGGCATGATCTTGGCTCACTGCAACCTCCGCCTCCCAGGTTCAACCGACTCTCCTGCCTCAGCCTTCCGAGTAGCTGGGATTACAGGCATGCGCCACCATACCCAGCTGATTTTTGTATTTTTGGTAGAGACAGGGTTTCACCGTGTTGGTCAGGCTGGTCTCGAACTCCTGACCTCAGATGATCCGCCTGCCTTGGCCTCCCAGAGTGCTGAGATTACAGGCTTGAGCCACTGCACCCAGCCAAGTATAAGTTTTTAAAACAAATTTAAACATAGTACTTACCCATTGTCTTCAAGGAAAGGACAGAATCCCTTGGTTAATGTTCCCTCAACAAAGACAAAGTAATTATTACTCAGTCAAGGAATCTGGGGGTAATCTTTTTGGCTCTTGAAACTAAACATGCCCATAGGCTGGGAGCAGTGGCTCATGCCTGTAACGCCAGTACTTTGGGTGGCTGAGGCAGGCAGACCGCTTGAGCCCAGGAGTTCGAGGCCAGCCTGGGGAACATGGTGAAACCCTGTCTCTACAAAAAAATACAAAAGTTGGCTGGATGTGGTAGTGCTCCAGGCCGCATGACAGGTGCCTGTGGTCCCAGTTACTTGGGAGGCTGAGGTAGGAGGATTGCTTGAGCCCACGAGGTCTAGGCTGCAGTTGAGCTGAGATTATGTGCCACCTTAATAGACACAGCAAGACCCTGTCTCCAAAAAACAAACAATCGAATAAAAAATCCCAAACAAAATCATGCCCATAAAAAAGCCAGGGTAAGGAATTAGAAACCAAAAGAAAACCTCCAGCTATCTATTCATTCAACATTTACTGGACTCTAATTCTCTTTTCTTGAAGAAAGGAATATTTAATAAGCAAACAAACTATTAATAGCATTTGGGGTGCCCTGAGTGCCTACTATGTGCCAGGGCCAAGTAGGTTTATCTTTATTTTGCAGAAGTTAAAAAATGATGTAATCGGGTGGTATGAACATTAAAAAAATGTAATTGAGGTTACAACCAAGGTGTATTTGATTTCAAACCCAGATCTTTTTGACTATGCTAAATGCAAGCAAATTCAAAAAGGGTGATTAGCCGGCCACAGTGGCTCACACAAGTAATCGTAATCGCAGCGCTTTGGAAGCCCGAGGGTGGATAGCTTTGAGGCCACGAATTCCAGACCAGCCTGGGCAACAAAATGAGGCCCACCCCCAATCTCAACAAAAAATTAAATTAAAAAAGTAAAAAAACCAAAAAGGGTATTAAGCAATTCACAGACACTGCACAGGATTTTTGGTACGTTTAGGGCATCTGCATGGTACTAGCTTTGTTCTGGGTTGCTGAGAACATTCACAGGTCATACACCAGTTTTCCTTTCTGGAGAGCTTCTGTCTGTGTATCTTTTTCTGGAGAATCTGTTTGACATTCACAACACACACTCCTCATTTATTGCCAGAAACGATGATGTTTTATGATTTACATTATGTGTGTAACACACGCACACGCGCGCGTCTTCCTTTCTGGACCTCGTTTACCGTAAGAGGAAGCAATTGCTTTTAGCATCAATAAAGGATTGCAGGATAAATATTTGTTCTTTGTAATGGGCGACATGCGCCAGCCCATAAGACATCCAGAGGTTCAGGTTATCAACGAAAGTGCACACGCCTCCCACGCCCCGTTTCCGTGTAGTTCCAAATCTCAGGTGTTTCCAGCTGCAGCTTCCGTTGCCTTTAACTACATCCTGCCTTTTCCTTCAGACCTTCCTCCTCAACCCCTTCGAGACCTACAGGCACGGCCCAGGGGCAGGTGGCATGACCTTGGTTCATCCTCGGCCGCGGAGACGCGGCGTGACCTTGGCCAAGTCCCCGCTTCCCCATCCGCTGACTGGCGAGGCTGGACCGCTGGGTCTCCGCTCCAGCCGCTAGGCGTCCTGCGCGGGTACCCGATCTCCCCCGGCTTCTTCCGCGCGGCCCCCCCAAGTTCTACGCCTACGCTGGCGGCGTAGCGGCCGCCTGGAGTCGCGCGGCCAGCTCCTTTCAGACGCTGGTTTCCGCCGCGCGGATTGGGAGGGCGCGATTCCCGAACGCGGCCTGCGCTGCGAGCGCGCGGTCGTCCCGCAGGCCGGTGCGGCCTTACGCCGCTGACGCATCGCGCCCAAGATGGCGGCGCGGTCGTCGTCGGGGGTGGCGGTGGCAGAGGGGGCGGCGGCCCTGGCGGCAGCGGAGACGGCAGCCGTGACGGTGGCAGCGGCGGCGCGGGACCTGGGCCGGGGGGAATGAGGCGGCCGCGGCAGGCCAGCGGCGGAGCCGTGTAGCGGACAAGCTCCCCCTCCCTGCTTCCCTTGGCCGAGCCGGGGGCGCGCGCGCACGCGGCCGTCCAGAGCGGGCTCCCCACCCCTCGACTCCCGCGACCCGCACCGCACCCCCACCCGGGCCCAGAGGATGATGAAGCTCAAGTCGAACCAGACCCGCACCTACGACGGCGACGGCTACAAGAAGCGGGCCGCATGCCTGTGTTTCCGCAGCGAGAGCGAGGAGGAGGTGAGGCGCCAGGCTGGGCTGGCCGGGGTCGCCGGGTCTCCGGCCCCTTCGGGTGGAGGCGCGAGGGGCGCCGCCGCTGGAGGAGGGTGTGCCCGGGCCGCCCCGCTGGTGCAGAATGATGTTCCGACGGAATTTCCTGAGGCGAAAAAGGGGGGAAGGACCAAGGACGTTGGGGCTGAGGGGAAGCGGGTCTGAGTGTGGCCGCACGGGACGCGCCGGGCGGAGGGGGTGACCGGCTTGCGGCCGGAGCGCTTCGGTTCGGCCGCCTGTTACCGGGGAGAGCGGCCGCGGGAGAAGGCAGTGGGCTGGGAAGAGTGCGGCTTTCGGTTCAGGCCAACGGCTTTGATCCAGGAAGAGCCGCTCCGCACTTGTCAGCCAGGCACATGTGTGCGGAGGCTGGTGTGCACGAGGCGCGGGCCGGCCTTTGTGGCAGAGAAATAGTGCGCTTCATTGGCAGGTTTGGGGTTTGCCGAAGGATTAGGTGTCTGTGAGCCCAAAGCCGAGGGATGGGGGTGGGGGTGTCTTCGGAAGATTTAGGGCGTTGTGCATAAGCCACAGCCAGCTGTTTATTTTACAGTGCGCTGGGTAGCCTTTATGGTGTAGTCTGAGAAGAAAGGACATTTGATATAATAATCTTTGTGTGCTGACAATGTTTCATATTAATTGGGAAGACCAAAAGCAGGATTTAATATTTTTGCTCTGACGTTCCTCCACTGCCTTGTGGGAAGAGCCTTAGAATTAAATTAGCTAGGAAAATAAAAATGTTTTAGAATCAGTTTCTTTTTATAATAGATAGGGTACTTTAAACAAAAATCTCGGCTTCCCAAAGCCGTTTCTGTGGTGATGGAGGGAGTTCAGAGAAGCACATGTTTTGTAAATCCACAAAGAATAGCTGCTTTGGAAATTCATAAGATGCCTGTGGGAATGCATTTCTCTTATGTGCATTGTGGTAAAATGGCAGTTAAACTGCAAACAGTGAAGGACAGTGAAATCCAATATGTTATACTCCAGCATTCAGCAGTGGGCTATGGTGGCAGGGCCGCAGTACAGTGCATGGTGTCGAAATGGGGAAAGGAACTTGACCCGTTAGTTATGAAAAGAAGCTGTGGCGAAAGAGACAGATGGATTGCCAGGAGTTGCTGTCCAGAGGTATTTAGGAGGAAGTGGGAATTTGAATTACTGCCTGAAGAAAATTAGTTAGTGAATTGTGCTGTTAAGGGATCCCATGTGTGCGCCCTTTCAGCAAAACAGAAAGAAAGGAGATTTGGAAACGTATGCTTTGTATCCTACCATATATTGTAAAAGTCCCCAAAACAGATGCATTGTAATAGCTAACCAGGGCCGTGCTGTAAATTATACACTGTTTTGGAATGCATATTTGAGTAAAGTAAAATTATTCGTGGTGCTTACTGCTCCAGAGGCTTTATTCTCTTCATTATCATATCATGTTATGGGAAATCAGATGGGATCACAGGCTCTTAACTGAAGGGAAAGCTGATTAGCATAATAGCATGTCTTACTACACTAGTATGCCTAAATCTGTGAGCACCCCAATTATAAGTATAGTTTAGTTGCACAAATGATGCAAGACTATTTGTTTTGAAAAATCACGGCCGGGCGCGGTGGCTCAAACCTGTAATCCCAGCACTTTGGGAGGCCGAGACGGGCGGATCACGAGGTCAGGAGATCGAGACCATCTTGGCTAACACGGTGAAACCCCGTCTCTACTAAAAAAAAAAAAAAAGAAAAATCACACCAGGCCGGACGCGGTGGCTCACGCCTGTAATTCTAGCACTTTGGGAGGCCAAGGTGGTGAGGCCACGAGTTCGAGACCAACCTGGCCAACAGACCCCCATCTCTAAATTAAAAATAATAATAATAAATCATACTAGAAATAGAAAACGTCTTTTTGATAAATTGAAAACTATAGATCATAAGCAAACTAACAAAGGCTTAATTTTCCATTTTCTGTTAAATGTTTTATTATGCACTGACATTAGGAACATTAATGTTGAAAGCTTACTTGTCTGTTTAGGCTACCTCATGGCATCTTACAAGTCAGACCAGGCATAAGACTTGCCTTCTAGGGCTTACTTTTTTTCTTTTTTTTTTTTTTTTTGAGACAGAGTCTCGCTATGTCGCCCAGGCTGGAGTGCAGTGGCCGAATCTCGGCTCACTGCAACCTCCGCCTCCCAGGTTCAGGCGATTCTAGGAGCTTACATTTTTATTTTTAAAAATTTATTTATTTATTTATTTATTTTGAGACGGAGTCTTCCTCTTTCACCCAGGCTGGGGTGCAGTGGCTTGATCTCAGCTCACTGCAACCTCCACCTCCCGGGTTCAAGCAGTTCTCCCTGCCTCAGCCTCCTGAGTAGCTGGGATTACAGGCGCCTGCCACAATGCTTGGCTAGTTTTTATATTGTATTTTTTATTTTTTATTTTTTTTGAGACGGAGTCTTGGCTCTGTCTCCCATGCTGGAGTGCAGTGGCACGATCTCAGCTCACTGCAAGCTCTGCCTCCTGAATTCACGCCATTCTCCTGCCTCAGCCTCCCGAGTAGCTGGGATTACAGGTGCCTGCGACCACGCCCGGCTAATTTTTTGTATTTGTAGTAGAGATGGAATTTCACCGTGTTAGTCAGGATGGTCTCAATCTCCTGACCTTGTGATCCACCCGCCTCAGCCTCCCAAAGTGCTGGGATTACAGGCATGAGCCACCGTGCCCGGCCTTTATTTATTTATTTTTTTGAGACAGGGTCTCACTGTGTCACGCAGGTTGGAGTGTAGTGGTGTGATCATGGCTCACTGCAACCTCAACCTCCTGTGCTCAAGCAATCCTCCCATCTCAGCCTCCCAAGTAGCTGGGACTACATGAACAAGCCACCATACCTGGTTGATTTTTAAATTTTATGTGGAGAAAGGGTGTATTAGTCCATTTTCACACTGCTATAAAGAAATACCTGAGACTGAGTAATTTAGAAAGAGGTTTAATTGACTCACAGTTATACATGGCTGGGGAAGCCTCAGGAAACTTACAATCATGGCGGAAGGCAAAGGGGAAGTAAGAACGTTCTTCACAAGGCAGCAGGAGAAAGAGAAGCGAAGGAGGAACTCCCAAACACTTATAAAACCATTGGATTTCGTGAGCACTCACTAGCATGAGAACCACATGGGGGAAACTCCCCATGATCCAGTTACTTCCCTCACTCAACACATGGGAGGGATTACAGGTCCTTCCCTCCACAGGTGGGGATTACAAATCGAGATGAGATTTGGGTGGGGACACAGAGCCATACCATATCACAGGTTCTCCCTTTGTTGCCCAGGCTATTGTCAAACTCCTGGGTTTAAGAGATCCTCCCATCTCAGCCTCCCAAAATGCTGGGATTATAGGCAAGAGCCACTTTGCCAGTCCAGGAGCTTAAAATTTTAAACTGTTAAAATGAAGTTTCTTTAATGCATTGAAACATTTAGTTTCCTTTATTGAATTTCTTTTTGAATGTTGGTTAATGAGCAGAGGAATCATGCAAAGCTTTCAATTACAGATGCAGTGGGTGTTATAGCTAAAGCCTGGGAAGAAAAAGAAAATGAGTGAAATACGTCCATTTTAGATTTCTTCAGTTCAACAAATGTGTATTAAAAACAACAAAAAGCATGTATTAAAGAGCCTACGATGGCGGCAGCACTGTGTCATGGGGAATCTAAAGATTAGCATCCCTTCCTGTGGACAGAGTTGAGTAGTTTTAGATGAGATTCCTTAATCGGAAGGGATTTTGGACCACAGAATAATCTCTAGGGTGCTTTTCAACTCTCAGATTATATAATTGTGTTGGAAGGAAAGTAATTTGTTAGTTCCAGGAGAACTTTTATGTTCTCAATAGATGTGCCAGAAGCATTAGCTGCCACACATTGTGGGAATGTAAAATTCAAACCGAATAGGGCATTCAACCCAATTAAAAAAAATTTTTAATGGGCACTGATGGCCTTAATCAAGATGGAATAGTTTACAGAATATTATTAGCATTAATACGATAGTAATATAAGTATATATAGGACCTTGATTTATAAATTTAAGCAATGTCAAGAAGCATACATGCAATGTGAAGAAAAAGAGATGAAAATACAGCCGTGTGTTGCTTACATTGGCGATACATACTGAGAAATGCATCTTTAGGTGATTTTGTTGTTGTGTGAACATCATAGAATGTACTTACACATACCTGGCTGGTATAGCCTACTGCACATGTAGGCTATATGGTATATAACCTGTTGGTCCTAAGCTGCAAAACTGTACAGCACGTGACTGTACTGAATAAATAGGCAATTGTAATGCAGTAGTATTTGTGTTTCTAAACATATCTAAACAAGCAAAGTACAGGAAAAATACGGTACAAAAAATAAAAAATGGTTCACCTGACCAGGACACTTAATATGAATGGTGCTTGTGCAACTGGAAGTTGCTCTGGATGCGTCAGTGAGTGAGCGGTGAGTAAATGCGAAGGCTTAGGGCATTACTGTACACTACTGTAGACTTTAGAAACACTGTACAGCTTAGGTTGCATTAAATCAAAAAATTATTTTTTTCAAAAATTAACAGCTTACTGTAATTTTTTTACTTTATAAGTTTTTACATTTTTTAACGTTCTGACTCTTGTAATATTAGCTTAAAACACATTGTACATCTGTATAAAAATATTTTCTCTTTTTTTCCTGTCACACTAAAATCACTTTTTTTTTTTTTTTTTAAAAGAGTTGAGCTCTTGCTCTGTTGCCCAGGCAACAGCCCAGGCTGGTCTTGAACTCCTGGGCTCAAGTGATCCTTCCACCTCAGCCTCCCAACAGCTAGCTAGGACAACTGGTGTATGCCACCATGCCTGGCTAATGTTTTCTTCGTTATATCTTTATTCTAGAAACTTTATTTAAAGATATTATTTATTATTTATTTGTTTTACTTTTTGTTCCTCTGCCTACCCATATTTTACTTTTTTTTTTTTTTTCTTT